AGTTGCAATTTTTTTTTTATGTTTTCAATTTTAATTTCGATTTTTGGATTTTAATTTTTTTCAATTTTTTTTTTCCTGTAGGATACAAAGGCTTAGAATCGGGGATCACGATTGAAATGGAGATGTTGGGGACGAGTTTCCTCGTCGTTGGCCAGTCGACGCCGTGGGGTAAGTCAATTTTTTTTATCTATTTTCTTATAAACAGTAATTAATATTTTTATTTTTCGTTATACAGAGAAGCTACCGGCGTTAGTGAACGTGGACTGGGAGGTCCATTCTACTCAGTCTACCCAAGACGGGCCTGAGCAGTCAACTAGCGATCCGCCGCTGCCGTCACCATAAGCTTAACGTCCCCCCCAGTTGATGTCCATAACCATATTTTTTTTGTAAAATAACCATATTATTATTATTATTATTATTAGTATTATATTATCGTATTGCTCTAATCATTTTTTATATTTTCTTTATTCACCTTTTCTTAATTGCTCTAATCATTTTTTGATATTTTTTTTATTCACCTTTTCTTATTGGTTGTGTGTATACAAGTGTACGCATTTGAGTATGTTTTATAATGATATTATGTATCAATCAAAAGGATAAAGGTGACCAACACTTTTTTGTAAAAGGTATATACTACATTTTACGGGTTGCGTGTAAACAAGTGTACGCATTTGAGTATGTTTTATAATGCTATTATATCAATCAAACGGTCAAAGGATAAAGGATAAACCAACACTTTTTTTTTGTAAAAGGTATATACTCCATTTATTGTGATACAGGTAAACAATTTTTTTTTAAAGTAAACTATTGCAAATGGTTTTAGATAATTAACAGGCGAGTCATATTTTTTTTTTAAAAGTAAACTATTGCAAATGGTTTTAGATACTTAACAGGCGAGTCATATAACAGATATTCTAAAAAAAAATATTTCATCAATCGAATAAAAAAACAAACACACCAATACACATCCGTCCAATGGTCTGGCATATTGTTATATTTTTAAAATTGTATTTTATTTATTTTTAAAACAAAAACTAAGTTAAATTTTGTGTACGATAAAAAATTATCTATATACATTTGAGGTGGAGTAGATGAGTAAATTGGTCGAACAACTGAGAATAGTTATCTGCACGACGTGTATCGTATATAGATGGGCCATCGTTACAATCAAATACCTGTAATTGTATAAAATAAATTTAGTTTATACAAATACCATAATAAGCTAATACATTTTATAGTCTCCTGGTTAAAATCATTGTCATCAGTTTTCGGTGGCCGGTGAGAAATACTTTCTTTGCAGTTATCGAATACATTCGTCATGCTGTTTGTAGATAATACTTGAGTATCAGGCTTAATATTAAACGCATACACCAGAAGGAAACAATAGGGTTCAACAGCTAATAATAATATTGCATTTAGCAAAGAAGAAAAGAAAAGAAAAGAAAAGAAAAATGAAATGAATAACAATTACCTTGTTGTCTATAATAATTTTGACCTTCTTTTCAACCAACTTTCGTATATGTATTTTTGAGCAAACATTTTAAGCTCGCTGGAAAAGTTGAAGTCGTTTTTCGATATAATTTTGTAAATTTCCGAAGTAGGCATCGTTTTTACAAACTTCACGATATTTTGAAATTCATTTGAATTGTGTGCGTCAACAGTAACTGACTCAATGTTTATTTTCATAATTACTTATGAAATAATCGACAAATTCTTCAACTTGATCAATCATGCGTGAGCGCTCAATTGTTTTCTTTCGCTGGATTGTTTCGGATATAACCCATTCAAGTTCCATCAACGTTATTAAATTTAATCGGGTCAATAACAACTTACATTTAACATTTTTTTTAGATTTAATCAAAATCAAATTTGTATTCCGAATAACCCGTTTTGAAATAACCATGTTTGCATCTTCGAGCAAAGTAATTTGTTCATTTTTAATCGGAGCTTTTGTCATTAAAGCTAAAATATTACCCATTAACGAATAAAAACGTTTTAGAACGGTTACTGTTAACGAAACAATGCAAGATGGAGAAATTAAATTCAGTTTTACGTCGAGTTTGTCATCACCGTCCAGTGCAATTATTAAAAATATTCGATTTTCAAAGTCAATGCCATACATTGTTACACTCAACAAATTATTAAATCCAGAACTGGGTACATTTTTTTTAATTTTAATTTTTTTACCGTTTTTATTATTACTTTTTACTTTAGCCATTTTTTAATTCACAATGAAAACACAAACAAAATTAGACTGTATGCCTTGTTAGCTTAACACTGACTGAACGAAAGACAAGATATGATAAAGCTAAATTATTCCTCATTAATTCTAGTCTTTTTAAAATTTGTTTTCAGTTCTACCAACTTGAAATGCATCATAAATTTAATATTTTGAATGATTGTGTTTATTACAATATTTTATAGTTAATGTTATTATATTTTTTTCTCGACGACACACTGAAACAGGTATCTTACTTTGAGAATGGACGGTACTTTATAGTACACACACACACACACACACTCAGTCAAAATATGTACTAATATACGTAGCTTGGTTATAATTGGAGCGGTACGGTGTACCATACGAATAATTTGTTAAAGGGGACGCTTTTTAACCACCATTAGAGGTACAATTGCCGAACGTTAGCGTCACCGCAGACGACGTTCGGCTGAAGGTTATTTCGGTAATTTCGGTCAACAGTGATTGTGTAACATACTCATCCCACTTTTATCCCTGAATAATGTTCAAAATTGTAATTTATTTCATAAAAAATGTAAACCTCAAATATTACAATTTTTTTAAGAATAACTCATGTTTTATACAAATTTAACATTTTGAAAGAGAATATATTTTCTTTACAATAACCAATAAAATCAATTATTTGTACACATATAATAGACAGTCCATAATTTGTATTAATTACATTTGATAAAAGTAAAATAACAATTGATAAAACATGTACAATGTGTGAAACCGTCGATTCGAGTACTGTTATCTCTTATCAGTTAGATTAAATAAAATAGGATATAATATTTAACAACCCTATCTTATTTTTTAGATTTTTTCGAAACTTTTTTTTTTATGAAGATCGGGGAAATTTTTAATTGTTAATCTGGTAACACTGCATATTGGTGTAGAAAATATTTTACGATGTGTGAAATTTGTCCGACTGCGATTCCGGTGAAAACATAAAAAAACCGGACGATAGCCGTGCCGACCCGGACAGAACCCGACGATAGCCGTGCCGACCCGGACAGAACCGGACGGCTGTTGAGTGGAGTACGAGAGACTTCGTCTTCGGTGTATGTCTACGACAGAAGTCTCGCGCGCGCGAACCCGCACCTCTATATATACCCTCTGACGGTGGGTGGAGACGTTAGTTTCTAAATATGCCGCTAGGATATATGTCTATACATATATATATATATACATATATATATATATATATATATATATATATATATATTCGAGAGACGCCGTCGGCGGTCCTCCATGAGACGTCCGTCTCATCCAGTACCTGGACAGAGTCTGTCGCGCGCGCGAGGCATAGGGTGTATATATATCATATTAGATACATTAGTTACTATTTTTCCCACTAGGATATCTATTATAATATATACATATACATATCATATGATGTGACAAAGAAGGGGGAAAATTAAAAAAAAATGTTTTGAACACGACGCCGCTTGTAAAATGTACACACACGCTACCGACACAAGTACTGTTATCTCTTATCAATTAGATTAAATAAAATAGAATATTACATCATATAATTTTATGTTGTGACAAAGAAGGGGGGGAAGTAAACATCCGTATAAATGGCCACGGCGGTAGATTAAATAAAACAGACTATATTAGCTATGTTCATGCATAGAGCTGTAAACTTTCGGCGCATGCGCAGAAAATATAATATCATATAATGATGTGACAAAGAAAGGGGGAAAAAGTAAATATACATGTATATGGTGTACGGTGGTAGATTAAATAAATAAAATATATTATGTTGTGCCAAAGAAGGGAAAAAACTTAAAAAATTTAAAACAATGTTTTGAACTCGACGACGCTTGTACAAGAGTATTCCAGCATAGAGCTGTAAACTTTCGGCGCATGCCCAACAAAAAAAGAATATTATATCATATCATATGATGGTCTGACAAAGAAGAGGAAAAAGTAAATATCCATATATGTGGCCACGACGGTAGATTGAATAAAATACTAACCTAACCTATCTTATTTTATTTCATATATTACAAGTATTGTTATCTCTTATCAGTTAGATTAAATAAAATATAATATCATATGATGTGACAAAGGAGGGAAATTGGATATGTGACACGGCGGCAGATATGTAAATAATATTAACCTATGGTAATACATTTTTTTTGCACTAAACATCAGGCTTTATTTACTAAACCAACGTGAATGTGTCTGTTGTCTGTTGGCGTTCGTTTGGCAATAATACCGATGCAACAGCTTATATTATACTATAATAGTATACTATGTTATAATATAACTTATATTATAATATAATATTAAAAAACCTATCTAACTCTATTTAATGCATCACAGGTACCGTTAGCTCTTATCAATTAGATTAAATAAAATACAATATAACATCATATCATATTATGTTGTGACAAGGAAGGGAAAAAACTAAAACAATTTTAAAAAAAATGTTTTGAACTCGACGACGCTTGTATAATGTACACACACGCTACCGACACAAGTACTGTTATCTTTTATCAATTCGATTAAATAAAATAGAATAGTACATCATATCATTTTATGTTGCGACAAAGAAGGGGGGGGAACCCTCACTTTGTGGAGTGTAACGTCTGCCACGTAGTGTTAGTTATCGTTGTCGTTTTATCGTTACAAGTCGTACTTCTTAACTGACATCCCAACGTGAAATAAATATAGCTGTAAGTTAAGCAAATCATTCAGACCATCCGGCGTCCACCAGTTATCGGCTCACTATCTCGCGACCGCAGTTCCTATGGCGCCAGGAGGTAAAAACGCAGGCAAGATCATGGAAATATCCGACAAGAAGCGCAAGCCCAAGAGGAAAGAATCATACAATATGTACGTCTACAAAGTGTTGAAACAAGTCCACCCCGAATTGAGTATGTACACCAAGGCCATGAACATCACGAACAGCTTCGTTACCGATATTTTCGAACGCATCGCCACCGAAGCTAAGCGTCTGACACACTACAACAAGCGTTCGACCATCACCAGCCGGGCGACCCAGACCGCTGCCCGTCTCCTGTTGCCTGGCGAATTAGCCAAGCACGCTGTCAATGAAGGCACCATTATTAAACTCCTATGGGGTTATAGATATGAATTCTGATTACTAGATAAAGGTACCATGATGTAAAATGGCATTACTTAAAAACGTATTTATATACTTTGAAGTATTGAAGAATTGAAGTTTACAAATTTGATTTAAAAAATTGAAATTTTATAAAATGTTCAAACATGTTTTATGCGTAGTAGGAATGAACTATCAAAAAAGTACATTAAAAAAAAAAACGGATGAGTGACTGCTTTAAGTTGTATAGAAATACAACTTAGTTATTGAATTATGGAGAAAATAACTTAAAAGAAACGGACCATTAAAACAAATTTCATGTATTTTACAGGATGCATTGCCAATTATGATGGAACGGAGGGGAAGGAGATGTCGATCAACCTATCGGTACGAGAGCGGCTGTACGCAAGTTGATGACGGAAATATTACAAAAGGCTCTGGAGCACTCTTCGATACCAATAAAACGGGTGCAGTAATAAATATACGTTTGATGACCTTACTGGTAGCCAACTCTCCCCCCCATCTGATCTTTACAAAATAAAATCACCATTTTAAAGAGTTGAACAGTAATGTTACCCTTCCTCATAGAACTCGTCAGGCATTATACCGCAGTTAGGTACCGGAGGGGGCTGGACAGTCTTTTCCGCCGGCTTTTTTTAATTTTATTTTGGGTGGGGAGGGAACCAGGGTCAAAAACCGAGTTCCGACATTACAGCGGGCCGTTTAAACTGCCAAAAAACGAATCGCGGGTCTCGGGACTCGAACCTCTCGCCGCTGGAGTTCGGGTCACACAGACGTGACACACAGGCGGAAAAAATTTTTTTAGTTTTATTTTGAGTGGGGAGGGAACAGGGTCAAAAACCAAGTTCCGACATTACAGCGAGGCCGGGAAACTGCCACCACACGACGCGGGTTCAAATGGGGGGGAGGGAACCAGGCAAAAACCAAGTTCCGACATTACAGCGGGCCGTTTAAAACTGCCAAAAAACGAATCGCGGGTCTCGGGACTCGAACTCCCCGCCGCTGGAGATCGGGTCACACAGACCAGACACGCTGGCGGACCAAAAAAATGTTGGAGTCCGGGTCACACAGACGTGATGACGGAAATATTACAAAAGGCTCTGGAGCACTCTTCGATACCAATAAAACGGGTGCAGTAATAAATATACGTTTGATGACCTTACTGGTAGCCAACTCTCCCCCCCATCTGATCTTTACAAAATAAAATCACCATTTTAAAGAGTTGAACAGTAATGTTACCCTTCCTCATAGAACTCGTCAGGCATTATACCGCAGTTAGGTACCGGAGGGGGCTGGACAGTCTTTTCCGCCGGCCTGCCGACAAAAAAAGAATTCAAATAGGACAAAAAATCTATTTTCAGTACTTCTCAAGTAGCATTTACTAGTACTTCCACTAATACTTCCACATTAGACTGTCCTGGTATAACCATAGAATCATCTTTTTATATAGTACTTAGACTTATTGTCTTAGGCATAGCTAAAATGTTACGAAAGTTGTTTTTTTGTCGGCAGGCCGGCGGAAAAGACTGTCCGGCCCCCTCCGGTACCTAACCGAGGTCGCCGTCGCACTGAACACACGGTTAGTGGGCTCGTATACGAGCATTGTAGGCTCACAGGCGTGGCAATGGCGTGAATTCAATCCACTTAAATTTCAGACACGCATGTGAGCCTACAATACTCGTGGACGTGGCACGAAACGTTTGGGATTGGTTCGGCGGTTAGGTTATGCCGAGTGACCGGACGAAACTACTCACCGCGCAACTCGTACACCGGTACACCGATGACCAACGACAATATCGCAGTTAGTCACATAGCCTACCAGCTGTGCTTCGCATTTTGTGGGACCTATGTTATGTTGATTTTCGCTCTTCGGGTATGTAAAATATGTATTCGTAGTTTTTATAATAATTACTAAGGTTGTTTAGTTTAAATAACTGGAACTTTAGGATTTTCGAAAGGCATAATAAATTAGTTAGATCTTCACCGACTTGAACAATTTAAATTTTCTGGTAAACACTCTCTTATATAACATTCTTATTTATTATGTAGTAGCAATAGTTATTTACTGTAACTACCTATATTTGATGAAAAATTGCTCATTATTTTAATATTGTTGTACCTCTTACTCTCGAAATCGTATTATACATAAGATGATGCGTATTGCCAATGAGGACCCGTCCTTGTTTGTATTGTTATTTATAATTTAGTTCTTTAATATGCTATAATAATAATTTATATATTTATTTGTTGTATTAACGCCAAACGGCAATTATGTACGTATATATATATATATATATATATATATATTGTTTTCGCAAATTTTACATTCTGAGGCCTAAATTAGTTGGATAGTAGTTTTTGTAAAAACCAAAATATTGGTTTATTCATCTTTTTCTAATGATGATTTCGTATACCAGCAACATTTGTTTAAAATTGATATTTATATTTGAAAAAATTAAAACTACAAAAAAGTTTTTTGGAACACTGATGCTCGCGACCTCTAAAAATAATTTTAGAAACTCTGAAAAAAACTATGAAATTATTATTTTACCGCAAGGAACATAATGTCAAGAGAAGACCAAAAAAAAAACCAAACAAAATAAATTTTTTTTTTGGTCCACCCTGATATACAGGGTGTTTCAGCATGAAAGGTAAGTAATAGGTAATTGGATATCTGGGGGAGCCCCCCCCCCCAAATGAGTCCCCGTTTTTATTTTTTTTCGATAAGTCAAAAATTGAAAGTTTCGACAGTTGAGTAATAAAATAATGACCTAAAACTACAAAAAATATTTCATGTTTTTCAGTGCAAAAAAGCTAACCTTAAAAGAGGGGTCACATCATTTTTCAGTCCCTTTCGGCCCCCCCCCAACTCAAAAAATGATTAAAGACCATAAAAAAATAATCAGTGATAAAAGATAAATGCTAAGACATAACCGATAAGAGATAAAAGAAAAAAAATTTGGTAAGAGATAAATTATTAGAGATTAGAGATGAATGATAAGAGATAGGTGCTAAATGATAAGAGTTTGGAGATGAATAATTAGAAACAAGAGATAAGAAATAAATAATAAGATATTAGTGATAAGCGATAAATGGTTAGAGACTAGAGGTAAGAAAAAATTATAAGTTAAGTGATAAGAGAATAGTTAAGGGTCGAAAAAGACTGAAAATGATGTGAACCCTCTTTTAAGATGAGTTTTTTGCACTGAATAACAGGGAATAATTTTTTTTTTTAAAAGTCATTATTTGTTAACTTAACTGTCGAAATCTTCAATTTTTTACTTATCGAAAAAAATGCAAACGGGGGCTTGTTTGGGGTCCCTCCAGATGTCCAATCACCTATTACTTACCTTTCATGGTGGAACACCCTGTATAATAATTTATGCTATAATATGTTTTATAATACGCTGAATATCTGTTTTTTATATTGTATCTCTTGGGCTGTTGCCCGTTTTGTAATAATAAATAAATAACTAATTGTTTGTATTTTTTTTTTTTTTTACGTATAGGTAGCTGGACATATTTTGTGGTTAATTTCGTATTTCACATCAGAAAATATTATGGAAGTAGTTCCACAGAAATGGTTTTCCAAAGGCCTCTGTGCTTGGCCAAAGTTAAAAAAAACTTAGGAAATTATAACAGCTATACGAATATAAAAAGAAACGAGAAAAGTTATTGAAAAAAAAAACGTGCCTGAGTTTGCCGACATACTGGAAGCCAGACGCCGATCTGCGTTGGCTGTTTGTTCCTTGGTTGGTCATTCATTCAAAGGAATCAATTAGATTGTATAAAAATTTAGTTTTCGCCGGTTGCAAAGCGGGCGGCCCTCAAAGTATGCAACAGTCAAGAGATAAACAGAAGTCGTCCAGCAGTGTGAAGCCGAACTACACGTTGAAATTTACGTTGGCTGGTCACACAAAAGCAGTGTCGTCGGTGAAATTCAGCCCTAACGGAGAATGGCTGGCTAGTTCATCGGCTGATAAATTAATCAAAATTTGGGGAGCGTATGATGGAAAATTTGAAAAAACCATATCTGGTCACAGATTAGGTATTAGTGATGTCAGTTGGTCATCGGATAGCCGACTTTTGGTATCAGCGTCCGATGATAAAACTCTTAAAGTGTGGGAATTATGTTCAGGAAAATGTGTCAAGACACTCAAAGGACACAGCAATTATGTATTTTGCTGCAATTTCAACTCACAATCAAATCTCATTGCTTCGGGATCATTTGATGAAAGTGTTCGAATTTGGGAAGTAAAAAGTGGCAAATGTCTTAGAACGTTTCCCGCGCATTCAGAGCCAGTTAGCGCTGTACATTTCACCAAAGATGGGTCCTTGATTGCTTCCAGCAGCTACGATGGGTTATGCCGTATTTGGGACACTGCCAGCGGTCAATGTCTGAAGACCTTATTCGACGACGACGACAAACCGCCAGTATCTTTTGTTAAATTTTCACCAAATGACAAATATTTACTTATAGCCACATTAGACAACACGTTAAAATTGTGGGATTACATCAAAGGAAAATGTCTAAAGTCTTATATTGGCCATAAAAATACAAAATATTGTATATTTGCCAACTTTTCTGTGATCGGGGGAAAATGGATCGTATCTGGTTCGGAAGACAACATGGTTTATATTTGGAATCTACAATCAAAGGAGATTGTACAGAAACTGCAAGGACACACTGACGTGGTTTTGTGTACATCTTGTCATCCAACAGCAAATATCATAGCATCAGCCGCTTTACAAAATGACAAAACGATTAAATTATGGCTAAGTGATACTTGACTCATTTTAAACTAACTGAACATTTTACTATTACAACACAACTATGACAACTTACTATTACAAATATTAGGCTATAACAAAATTATTGCATAATTGTACAATATTTAATATGTTATCGAACATAAATGTGAACATACAGTTTTCTTTTGCTCGAACTTAGTATTCGTGTTATTTATTTATTCGTCTTGGTAATTTGAATATTTTAAAATTACACTGGACATTGTCGGGTTCCATAATATGTGTCCAGTAAAATTGTAAATTTACGCAAATATTTTAATGTTTCGAACAGATATTTTTCGCATAAATAGTAATCAATATAGTTAATATTATTTATTTGGGTCATGGAATATGCGTATAGTATGTTATAAGTAATAAATATAGTATAACCTTATATGGTATTATATGCGAACATTATAGAAATCATTGTGTAATATTTAAAAGTTGTTTAATACAAGGACCAATTTCATTCATGTCCTAGATTATATCATATATTATAAGCCATAGTATTAAGGTGTTGGATGACCACTCTATTACGGCTGCTGTTATAACTGTACCGTACGTTGTCTATACCATTCTTTATATTAATTATACTGTGTGGTTTTATGTTTAATAGTATTGTGTTCCATCATATTATTGTTGTTTTTTATTTCTACTTAAATACTAACTTCCACCAAGATGTGTTATTGAACATTTTTATAATCTCCTGTTGCTACATAATATACAGTTTTAATAGAATTTAATTTATTTATGCAAATATTTAATATGTTTTCACATTTATTATGATGATGTCAACCTTTAGTTAAACACAAAGTATAAAGGAACCAGTTTAGGTTTTTACATAAAATCGAATATTGCGTAAAGTGTTTATTAATATTCAGAGTGTAGTCAATTTAAGTATTATAATATTTATGTGAAGCTTAGCCAATTTATTAGTCACACAACAATATATACAGTATAATTTATGTATTTTACACAATAAAAAAAAAAAACTATGTCTTTCTAAAAATATTTCTTTTTTTAAGGAATACCCCACAGGCGGATAAAACCCGGTTTTGTTTATCGCCATTAAGAATCATAAATTATATATGGCGATAACCAAAACCTGCGAGACGGTGTCTCCAAGGCCACCAGCACATGTACCTAACTTTTACACAATAAAATAAATTATGTCTTTCTGAAAATTCACACCACTTCCCGTTTATATTAATTGTTGTCTAAGTATAAATTAATTATTAATCACTTCGTCAATTTATTGTTCAACTTCCATATAATATATAAACATATTAAGTTTATGTACACATTTTTAATTCCTTTTCAATCGTTTAGTTTTAATTTTAACCACGATAGTAATAAAATTAGTCATAATTAATATAGTGTAATCTAATTAATAAATTAGTGAAGTTAGAATTTATACACGTAGCCACTATAAATCTAGTTTAGTATTATAAACAGTAACTGTGATTTATAACAGTTATCACTCGAGTAGCAATAACAGGCTGTTACTCAGATAAAAAAAAACAACTGTTACAACAATTTTTTTTTTTCTAACTTGTTTCCGCTGTATAACATGTTGCCAGCTTAATAACAGACAACACACAACAGTGATAAAATAGCCGCTGGAATAACACTAACAATCATCGGCTACACCCACAGGCCACAACCGTACAGCAAAATATAATAAAGAAATAGCGGATTTCGGGCAATCGCTCCAGCGTATTAACTATTAAAGATCCAAATAATATTCGGTAATAGTTATTATTAGATAACGGTAAAGTTGTTATTTTTTAAATGATAAGGGTCGGCGTTACCGTGGCAACCTGTTATATTACAAGTGTTTTCTGTTATTTACAGGGAAATTGGGGAAAAAAACAGTAACTGTTATTTTAACTGTTATTTTGTTAGTAACAATAACATTATTTAACTGTTGAACACGAATTAACAAAGATGCAAACTACGACCAAATGATGGCTGACTAGAGACGTGGGAATCAACAGCGGCCTGTACCGGCTGTCGCACGGCGAAGGTCATTAATCCCCACCTAGCGCATTAATTTTGAGAAAATGGTTTTTTTTAGATTTTTCCCTTTACTTACACTATAAGACCCACCTTTGTGCCAAATTTCACGTTTCTGCCTATACTGGAAGTATCTTACAATTTTGACGATGAGTGAGTGAGCGAGCAAGTGGGTCAGTCAGTAACAAAAATGCAAATTTTGAAATCCTCCCATTTTGAAACAGTTCAATATTAAGGGCTCATATTTTTACAGTACCCTAAGCTACATGAGTTTAATCTATGTTCCAAATTTCAAAAGCTTATCTTAAGAAGTAGCAGAGATATGAGAGTTAGAAATACCGGGTGAATTGGTTCGTATAATGCCAGTGCATTACACGAACCACCGGCAGTGCACTGCCGTGCTCTCAGATACTACGCAATAGTAATATGCAAATAATACTATATACTGACTAAAAAGTCAACAACATAATAAATAACTAAAGTAGATTAAAAAATTAATCTAAAATAATTAACTAGAAAAACGTGGGGCGCATCTTTACTACTTCACACGTCTGAATATATATTAACATTCTCTTCTAATTAATAACTACCTGAATTCATAATTCAGGCACAACCATCTTTTCTCTTCTAAATAAAATAATACATAATGACATGTCATGTAAAATTGAGCACCACATTACTTTAAATCTTAAGCAAGTAGGTAGTTAACACAAAAAAATGAAACACCCTACCTAAAAACAAACTTTTGAGAGAATAGCAATTAATTCTTTTCAATTTGCAATGTAATTTAAGGCAAGTGGCACGGACATCCATTCAATTTCATTTCCGATAAAAAGTGATACTATTACTTTCTGATCCGTTCGGTTAGAGAGACAACTTAATGCATTAACATGAAAGCTTAGGTGTTAATATCTAAGTAAAAAGATGCGCCCCACGTTTTTCTAGGTCACCTGTCCTATTTGGTTATCAAGACCCCCGGAGGGTTATTTTATACTTTTTAAGGCGCATAAAAACGTTAGTTTTTTAGATTAATTTTTTAATCTACTTTAGTTATTTTGTTCTTTTTCGTTTTCATATGTACGTACCTATATATTTAAATGTACAATGTTAAACCATACATTAGAAAAGGCTGCATGGGCAGAAGGATTATCATAAGATATAGTAATCAATTTAAAAGCTTATAATTTTAGAGTTGCTACTAAATAAGTTATCATACAAGTTGAAAGTAAATTGTAATTGCTATATAAATTGTCATAAAAGTAGAATAAAAGTTTTAAGAAAATGCAAAAAAAAACAGTAATGTTGGGAACGGGTTTGACCTGGTACCGCTCATATCTAAACACCGTTCACGGCCAAACGCACCGCGCATAATTTTTGCTGGTGGATGAGAAATAAGTATTTTTGAATTGCAAGATTTCAACCGGAACGACGGACAAGCAATCGCCCCATTTTAGCCCCCTTAGGGGTGGAATTTTCAACCTCTTAAGGATTAATAATGCATTGTCATCAAATTATGAGCTACCCTGAAAGTTTCAGCCGGATAGCTAATCGGGAAGTGCTTGAAATTTGAGTTGCAAGATTCCACCCGGAATGACAAACAAGATTGTGAGTTCATTAAAACGTTATAATAATAAAAAAATTTAAAATACACATTAAAATATTTGCATAGATTTATCAATTTTATGTACACATATTATGTAAGCCGACAATGGCCTGTGTAATTGTAAAATATTAAAATTACCAAGACGAATAGCGGCAGATCCAGGCAGCACCGAGACCACACCCTGGACTGGAACATTGCGCAACATGTCGTAAGATGTGAAATCATCTTCCCACCATCAGCCAACCCGGATAGCAAACCTGCGTAAATACCAGCCCATTCGCGAATGAACTCTCAGTAGTGTTTAGCCCGGCTTACTTAGCACACCTACGAACCGAACATTACTTTAATCTGTGTATTATTACTATTGTCAAAGATTAAATTCTTACTTGTAACCATTTCGGAAATATTTTCTCTTTATTTTAAAATAAAACACATATCTTTCTCATCTTCGCGTTCAACATCTGCAAAAAGGGGCACTGAACCATCCAACATCACGCCGAGGGGGCAATCGAAGGGATTCCAAGCACTTCTTGTTCTTCAAAGCCTTTGTGACGGACATCTCACCATGAACGCATTATTGTGAGTTAATCTGAAATATATAAGAATATAACATAAGTTTTAATTAAGTTAATTGTATGAGTAATAAGCTGGTTGCCACTTATCGAAGTAAGGTAGAATTAGATTTGTCTGAGATTACATTAGAATCTAGTGAGATAACTATTTAATTAACTTAAACGATAGTACCATTCTTATTAATCGGGAATCCTTACCCGACCCGGACGAACTTTTCGACAACACGTTTAGGGAAAAACCACAATAGTAACACAGTAGCTACGACTAGTACATCAGAAATAGAAATTAATCAACCAATAATGACTTCAACTCCTACAGACGTGTTACAGTTAACGCCTTAATATTCCGGTAAAACGGATATTTATCAAATTTTAAACGCGCGTGAGGCAATTATTGATTTGGTTAACACCGATCAAAGACCGCTTTTGTTAAAAAGTATGAATTAATAGTATTATTAATTATATTATTAAAGTTATTAAATAATAGTATAGTAACTAACACTAGTAAATAAGTATTTAAATATAAGCGTAGGTTAACTTTTAATTAATAAAAATTACTGTTCTAGGTGAATGGATACTCTGTCTACTTACGGAAAAAATAATCCAAGCTAATAAATTAATTATGAGTGCGAACGACGCCCAAGTAGTTTTCCTAAAAAAAATAATAAAACTAGCTTTAGATAATTGTACGATAAATCACTCACCTAAACACACCTTAAAAAGCATTTTAGATCAAGTAAATTCTCAACTTACTATAAAATTCGATGAAAACTATCTAAAACTCACTGAACGAAATCTCACAAAGTTCTTGA